CATGCGCCCGGCATGAGTTTAAGCCACCGGGTCCAGGACTCGACCCGTGGTCGACTACATGGGAGTCCAGTGACATAGCCATTACGCTAACTGCTGGTTACCATATGTATAATTTTGCAATGAGCATGAAGTTGGTAAAAAGCACACAGGAGCATAATGAAGAGGAAATTCTGGGAATGGTAAAGTAAGAAACGTAGCTTCTATAGAAACTACAGAGTTGAAACAACAACAAATGAAGATGGAAGAGGAGAAAGGGGAGGAGGAAGATGCAAGGACAGTTTGAGTCAGAACATATGGGAAAATTCTTCGTTAGAAAACCTGTGGGGGGAACCAGCAGTTAGCGTAATGGCTATGTCGCTGGACTCCCACGTAGTCGACCGTAGTTCGCGTCCCGGACCCGGTGGCTTAAAACTCACGCCAGGCACGAGTGCATGCGTGCCCAAGATCCCGAGAGGAGAATGGAGGAGAAGGGATTGCGGCGTGACCATCCCCCTGGGGGGTGATTTCTCGCTTTCTGTCTCTCTGTCTCTCTCCGTCTGTCTGGCGAGCACACGCGCCCTATAGCAAAAACCTCTCCAAAAAAAAAAACCAGAAAACCTGTGGGCACCCCTGTGATTAAGATAGCCCAATCCCACATGGCCAACTACAGTTCAAATACCAGCTCTAGGGACTTGAAAAACATTCCAGAAGTTTGTGCATACATGCTCGAAATCTTGGTAAGACAGAATAATGGAAAAGGGATTCTAACATGATCACATACCCCTGGGGAATGTTTTCTTTAGCAAATGAACACACCCTCTGGCAATTATAAATAAATATTTTTAAAAGAAACCAAGTGGTGTGGTGGTTAAGGTGCTGGATTTCTACACGGCTGACCATGGTTCAAGTCCCAGACCTGTTGACTTGCTTTCTTACTTCTCTCTCTGTCCAAATTTTAAAATAATAATTAATAAATAAAATTAAATAAGTAATTTTTCTAAAAAAAGAAAACCTGCATTGTATTCATCAGGTGATTGTCTCCACCAGTGTAAGATCTTCACTAACACAGAATCATAAAATTGCTTCCCCATCCCCTGAAATCCTTGCCATTTTACATAGCTTGTGTATCCTGTTACCTACAGTTAGAATGTCTTCACTCTTCTCCCTTATCAAAAGAAATCTTTAAATTCCTCTGGACTGTTCTCAAATGTTACTTTGCTTTAGAAGTCCTCTCTGGTCTCTCAAACCACTGCCCCATCTACCCCAAATGCCTTCCCTTTATAATGCACCCTCTAAATATACATTTTCAGTGCATATCTCATTGTAATGTTTCTAAGTCTGCTTCTCCAAACAGACCACAACCAATAGGAAGGTAAAAACATCATTTTACATACTAGTTGCCTAGTTCCTAGTAGGAGCTTATCAACTATCTACTTAAAGAGTGAATCTAGGCACAGAATAGACTGTGCAGAATGACCTCATGCAAAAATGCTGAAGAATGTCAATAAGAGATTTGGGCCCCGTGGGTGGCACATGGTTAAGGCATGTGGCTGACTGTGCCTCTTAAGACCCCGATCCAATGACTTGAAAAACACACTAAGCATGTGTATGTATGTGCCCAAAATCCTGACAGGAGAATGGAGAAGGAATTGTGGCATAGCCATCCTCCCTTGGGGGAGATGTGTACTTTCTCTCTCTCTCTCTCTCTCTCTCTCTCTCTCTCTCTCTCTCTCTCTCTCTCTCTCTCTCTCTCTCTCTCTCTCTCTCTCTCTCTCTCTCTCTCTCTCTCTCTCTCTCTCTCTCTCTCTCTCTCTCTCTCTCTCTCTCTCTCTCTCTCTCTCTCTCTCTCTCTCTCTCTCTCTCTCTCTCTCTCTCTCTCTCTCTTTCTCTCTCTCTCTCTGGTGAGTGCATGTACCCTATAGCAAAAAAAATTTAAAAAATTTAAAAAAGAAGGAGACAAGAGGGGGAGAGAGAGAGAGAGATTTGGAATGGAGGTGATATCGAAAAAGCAGATAGCATTGTTGATATTCTTGTGCTCACCTTAACTACATTACTGCTTGAAGTAAGGTGTTTTTAGGAGGTGGAGGTTTGCTAAAATCCTCAGGAGAACAAGAAAGGGAGATGTGCTTTATGAAGAAAGACTTTTCAAGAAGCATTTCAGGTTGGAAGTGTTGGAGTTGGAGCAGAGTAGAGAGGCAATGCCTTCACCTTAGAAAGCATTTATCATTCTGAGAAGCAGAGTGCTAGGTAAGAAATAAACTATTCAGAGTACTCTCTGTTCTCTAAGCATGAGAGGAAGGCAAAGGGGAAAGGCATCTTCCCATCTGCTAAACCAACTGTTGGAGTAAACCAGAATCCAGGCACCAGTCGTACTAAGGATAAAAGGAATTGCATTTGTCTGGTACCGCCATTGTCTCTCTCAAGAACTTAGGTGTGATACATAGGTCAAAACTCATGTGCTATAGGGACCAGGCATGTATAATTACTAAGTGACATTGACCTATGTGACAGATAAGAGGGAGGTAGGGTGGAGTGAGAAAATACGAGAGTACACGTACTGCACCAAGGACCCCCACAAACCCCTATCCACAAACACTACTCAGCCTCAGCTGATTATTTCTATGCAGAGATGTGAGTCCATGGTTGCTGAACTTTTGAACTTCTTAAAAAATCACACTGAGCCTTCCTTGTACATGCCAAATGATAAATGTCTGAAGACTGAATCTAGCCCATGGGACATTAATTTGTAAGAATGATTTGGAAGGAGAATTGAGTACTCAAGGATTCTTCACTGGTTCCGACGGTGAAAGTGACTCAGTATGATCCAGAACCTTATCTTCATCTCTTTGTTTCCTAGATTTAAACATATTTTTAATACCCCCATGGTCTTATCTACTGGAAAGCAATTCTTCCATTGACATTTTCTAGAAAGAATAACATTTGAAAATGGAGAATCAACCATTTTCACAAAGGGAATTTAGCTAAGAGGTATCTTTCATTATCAATTAGTAAGATTGAAAAGTGGACAAACACTAACATTTGGTGTATTCAGTTAGTGTCTGGAGAAGAAAGCCATGTTTTCTGAGCTTCCATAAAAAAAAGTATAAATTTGCCCAAGGACTACTTTAGAAAAATAAATATCAAACAGAAGTGTACTTTTTCAAAAAAAAAAAAATGGACTATACAGTTTCACTTTAGAGGTCTGGTACTAGAATGACACCAGGCTATATTTGCACTAGATGGTTTTTACACCTAGAAATATTGTGAATGGAGACAAAATATGGCTGAGTGGTACATGTGGTTGGCAGTTTAGAGGGTGGGTGAAGGGGGGAAGGCAGCCAGAACAATTAGAAAGATCCTATTAAGTGGTCCAGAGCCAGAATTGAATATCAAACTTATATGTAGGTTATATGCAGGTTTATACTGATGCTCTTAGCTAAAATAATTTTTTAAAAAGCAATTTTACAAGCCTCAGAAGATTTCAGTTGAATTGATTCAAAATCAATTTTAACTTACTTTCCATTCATGTGATATGAAAGGAGGGAGCCAATTTTACCAGTTCACTGATGATACAGTTTAAGCATTTCCAGAGTAGAAAAAGTTCATTTCTTCTCAGACAGATAATTCAAGCTTCAAGAACTATTGTCTAGACTGAGAAGGATTTGTGACCCCCAAAGTCCTATCAAACAAAGAGGGTAAATATATTTCAGGCAGCTGGAGGACTGGAGTTCCGTCAGAACTTTGTGTGTGATTTCAGCCTTTCAGGTTGAGGACTGTATCAGCAGCACTTTAAAAGTAAATCCTGCCGGTGGAGAAGATTAGGAATCAGTGAGGACTGCCATTTGTGTGTGTGTGTGAGAGTGTGTGTGTGTGTGAGAGAGCGAGCTAGCGTGTGTGTTCTCATTAGGGGACGATCTATGATTTGACAGCCTCACTGCTGCTGCTCCTGCCGCTGTTGCTGCTTCTGCTGCGGCGGTATGGTCTGTCATTAGTTGAAAAGGGCTGCGAGGGTTTAGAGGGACTGCAGCTCTGAGGACTGAGCACTGCTAAGTGGGCTCCCTGTCAAACAGACTGGACGAGATTTTCTGCAAGATTGGAAACTTGGACCTATTACCATTACATCTACCTAGAAAAGCAGGCTGGTGCTACAGAATAAGGTAAGTGAACAACTGGTTCTCTCCCGGGTATGGGAGGCACAGGGCATGGGGAAACATAGGTTCAAAATCTTGCGGTTTTATACCAATGCTATCTCACCCTTTGAAAGCGAAGAAGGCAACAGCTAAATTTCTATCAGGCATGATCATTGAGCTTCTTGGCTTTTTCCCAATACCTTTTTATTCTTTACTTTTCCCAATTATCTGAAAGGTAGTCTAGTACTTATTTTATAGTTATCAGATATTACTTAGGGGTTCCCCCCTCCTCAATCTGGCACCATTTCAAAACAGGGAGCTTTTTTCTCTTTCTCTCTTCTTAAGCATTTTTTCTCGATTGAGAGATAACTGCCCCCTCCTAATGTAAGCTGTTCAAATCAGTCACACCACCCTACCCGACACTAAAGTTGCAATAAAAAAGTTTTTGGAAGTCCTTATGATCCCTGTCACCATAGAAAGACTGGAGGTTAAAGGAGAGGAAGTGGAAATTACCTGTGAGTGTGACTTGATCCGAAACGGGGAAGCTGTGGATGAATATGTACTGTAATCCTTCACAGGGAAAGAAGATGTTTTGAGAAGTTGGTGTTTCAGAGAAACTTCAAACCACTAAAGATGGAAAACGAGACAGTCAGTGACCTGAACCAAACACAGCTTCAGCCACGAGCAGTGGTGGCCCTAGAATACCAAGTGGTCACCATCTTACTTGTGCTCATTATTTGTGGTCTGGGTATTGTGGGCAACATCATGGTGGTGCTGGTGGTCATGAGAACCAAGCACATGAGGACCCCCACAAACTGCTACCTGGTGAGTCTGGCAGTTGCTGACCTCATGGTCCTGGTAGCTGCAGGCCTTCCCAACATAACAGACAGCATCTATGGTTCCTGGGTCTATGGCTATGTTGGATGCCTCTGCATTACTTACCTCCAGTACTTGGGAATTAACGCGTCCTCTTGCTCAATAACAGCCTTTACCATTGAGAGGTACATAGCAATCTGTCACCCCATCAAAGCCCAGTTACTCTGCACATTTTCCAGAGCCAAAAAGATCATCATCTTTGTATGGGCTTTTACATCCATTTACTGCATGCTGTGGTTCTTCTTGCTGGATCTCAACATTAGCACCTACAAAGATGCTATCGTAGTATCCTGTGGCTACAAGATCTCCAGGAATTACTACTCACCTATTTACCTAATGGACTTTGGTGTCTTTTATGTGATGCCTATGATCCTGGCCACTGTCCTCTATGGATTCATAGCTAGAATCCTCTTCTTAAATCCCATTCCTTCAGATCCTAAAGAAAACTCTAAAACATGGAAAAATGACTCAACCCATCAGAATAAGAATTTGAATGTAAATACCTCTAATAGATGTTTCAGCAGCACAGTGTCTTCAAGGAAGCAGGTAAGCAAAACTGAACCTCATAGAGGAAACAGGGGATAGGGTTCCTTGCGAGATGGGATCACAGTTGCCCTACTTAGCTGATGGTGAAACCAAAATACAATCATGCAAATGTTTCACAGTGTAAGCTTCTGCTTTACATATTAAATCTATCTCAAGTCAACTGAAGATCTAAAAATGGATGGGAAAATTTGATAGCACATCAGCAGGTACCAGTTCAAATGCTATTTTTAAAAAAAAAGATAAAAGGAAATTTAAACAGAAACTTGGAAACTAGTAATCCACCTTTAAAAGGTACCTCTCTGGAAATGTTATCATAATATAGACTATTTCTGGCTTCTGTAGGGATGAATACTATTGCACAACAAAGAATTATTTTTAGGAATTCTATTGCATGACAAAAACTTGAGAAGATAGTTTGAGAACAGATGAGTCAAAATAATGAAACTCTTCTTGCCATTCTGAAGGTCCTGATATATATAACTGAGAGAAATTCCTAGACTTACTTTTGTTAGTCTTAATAGAGAATGATTCTATCACCCTCTCCTTCAGATTCCTACCAAGTGTCCCAGCATGTAAATGCTGAAAGTAGGCTTTGCTCAAGGAATATTCTATTTAATAAAATGCCAACCAACATCAAGTTTAACTTGTTATGAAGAATAATTGAATTTTTTAATGTCTATTCTTTCTGTTAAACTTTATTAAAAATAAATTCCCTTATGCTTTCAGATGACCTGCATGCCCATGTAATTACAGTTGAGTAGTGTTTTTACTCATGAATGAAGTTCAACTTTATTACAGTAGATATGATTTGAGAGATAATATAAAAATAAAGTGCTTTTCTATCATACACATATTTATGTATATTTACACAATTGTTCCCTTCGTTACTTACTAACTCAGCTTTTAGCTCCTTTTCCTTTTTTGTTAAGCATGATAAACAGATGGTAAACATTTATTTTCATGGCTGAAAAAGTTTAAAATCAACAATACTGGTTCCTTCAAATGGGTTAAAATTTCTCACCTTTTTGTCTGCAGGAAATACTGTTCTTTCCATGTACAAAGATAGAAATGGGCTGTACTTTTTAAAGAATACATATGGATCATCCATGCTATTACCTTCTAAATTTTAGATTAGCCAATATACGATAAATAGTAATTGGACACATAGGCACACAATGAAATGAGATAATAAAATATGTTGGTGTTTTAGAGATACGTGAAATGAATAATGAATGGTAACCAAAAGGCAAACTATAAGTATGTATATACAGCGTATACTTAATTTTTATAACATTTGTTACTGAAGATACTTAGATAATGGAAGACAAGACCTAGTCAGCTATTGCCAACTATTAGATTCCTGCT